ATTAATTGAGGACTTTTTAATCTAACTTTAAAGCATGGCATTATTTGACTAGAACGTTTGTTAAGTGAAATACATTTGTTTCAATTAAATAAATGAGTCACTTGTTAAATGAAAGTTACATTTGCCTTATTTATTTTTTTAAAAAAGTGTGTGTATGGTCACCTGGTTGGAATGCACAGAGAAAGCAGTGACATTCTTCTGCATCGTTGGTAGTTAATTCTTATTTCTTATCCTAACAGGTGGATGTGTTTCAGGCTACCTTCTAGGGAGACTAAGAAACTTAGATTTATTCTTTGTGTTTTATTGACAGAGATTTTCTATTTTTGTTGACTTCAGGGTCAGGTTTGGCTTTTCTTTCCTTTCTTTTTTCATTCTGGTTAAGACTGTGTGACTTGCTTCCTTCAATTGTCTGTTTTTTGATTGTTGCTACAGACTTGGTTTAGGTCAGTGTCAGAAATTTCTCTTGGTTCCCATGCAGTGTTTTATGACACTGCTTCTAACACTAGATGTATGGTTTTTCTGACACCAACTGGGTGTCCAACAATTCAGTTTTGATGTTCACTTCCAGAACTACAGATGGGGTCCCAGATGACCCACACTTCTGCCTGGCTGGCTGACCGTAAATTTTAGGGTGCCAGGATCCCCTCTTAGGTTTGATAATTTGCTAGAATGACACACAGAACTTAGGGAAACACTTTACATATGCTTACCAGTTTCTTGTAGAGTTGATTACAACTCAGGAATGGCCAAATGGGAGAGATGCATGGGGCAAGGTTGTGGGTGGTGCATGGCACAGAGCTTCCATGGCCTCTCTGGGTGTGTGGTCCCACCCTCTCTCCTGGCACTTTAACATGTTCACCAACTCTGAAGCTTTCAGAATCTCATTGTTCTAGAGTTTTTATAGAATTCAATCTCCAGTCCCCCTTGCCTCCCAGAGACTGGGGGCGGGGCTGAAAATTCCAACCCTCTAATGACATGTTTGGTCTTTCCGGTGATCAGCCCCCATCCTGAAGCTATCTAGGGGTCCCACCCTGAGTCACTTCATTAACATGAACTCCG